AAGTTTTTAAATTTTACTAACACATGACTACCTAACACTTTTGAATTGAGCACACTGGTCACCAATATGATATACTTCGAAAACGTTAGGTACATACAATTTGAAAAATGTGCGATCTTGTAATACTGAATATATTACAACCAGAATATTGACATTTGAGATTTTTACCTTTTTGTCTTTTCCAGAAGAGTACCTATTTGATGTTACTGAAAATTTTATTCGTATGGCAACAACGACACTGCTACATTAAATAAAATAAGATAAAATAAAATAAAAAGTATACTTGATATTAATAACTCCATTAATCCCATTAATGCCCGACTCAAACCTTCTCTATTCGGGCATTCGTCTGTAATTTTGACTGGAAATTTATAGTTTAGATGATATTTTATTTAAAAACAAATTACTTATTAGTTATAGTACTTACTTTTGATTTTTTATACTCGTCATTCGACTTTCGTAGTATACCAGCATCAACTTTTGGCGGTCAAACAAATAACAGAAATAGTGTTGTAATCGTCAGAAGAAACCATTTTTATAAAAAGTAATGGTAGAAAAATAAATTTACCATCACAAATCGCAATAATATAACCGATTACCGGAAATAACCAATACTGTGAATGATTTTATCAAACTCAATGTATTATTTCAGTATACCTGTTTGAAATAGGTGTATATAAATAACCGTATATAATATTATAAAATAAAAATCGTGTCGTCTGGGGAGCCCCCTCTACAATACGCCACTGTGGCGTGTGTGTTGTGTGTAATAGTTTTATTCCAACATTTTTTAAATTAATACAAATTCTAAAAACAGCAGCCTCTCAGGCCTCAGATATCAATAAAAAATTGTTATTATAAAATAACTGCTAGGTAGGTACTTTATATATTTTGTAAAATGTAAATTACGTTGTCAAAAAGGGTTTCATCGTGAAGACAAGAGTAACAAAAATATGTAAGATAGGAATGGTAATTTGATATAAATGTAAGTAGAAATGTGCTTGTGAACGGTTTCTTTTAAGTTAGGTAGGTACCTATTTGAGCTGGTCAAAACTTTTGCCCCACTCTATTGAAAACTAAAATGATGCTACTAATTTACACTAAAATTGTATAATTAGGTAACACCATTTGAAAATGTTGATCAATTGGTGGACGAATTTGAACCATATAAAATATTATGGCTGAGTGCTTCAGAGTTTTTTAAATTACAAAATGCTTGGTTGCAAAATCCATTAGCAAATTTAGAAAAATCTACGCTAATGCCTTCGTTAAATAGTTTATTAAACATTGTCACAAAATCTGTTGAACAATTTGCTGAAATACCTGGTAACAATAATAAATGGACTTTGATTATTTTTTAATCTAAACATTTTTACAAATATTTATTTTTTAATGAGTGCAGGTACTTTGAGCGTAGCTAATGAAATAAAAACACAAATTGAAGAGTATAAACCAATAATACGTTTATTGGAAGATATACTAACTCAGGGGATGAAGCAAAGGCATTGGGATATATTTTATGATAAAACTGGTGAATAATTATTAACTATTGTAGTAGTTTGGTACAATAAATATTATAATAGTAGGTACCTGTCTGGCTACCTAAACCTAACTACTTACATATAGTATCCACATGTTATAATTTATAATATATGTTTAAATGTTTAGTAATATTAATTCAAATAATACAATTAATGTGTTTAGGAATAAAAATTATATTATCATCAACGCTGAATTTTAAAAAATGTTTGGTATTGGGTGTTCAAAACTATATAGAAGAGATAAAAGAAATATCAGACAATGCTTCAAAAGAATATACAATTGAAATAGCTTTGAATAAAATGATGGACGAATGGAATGGTGTAAAGTTACAATTGTTGCCTTATAATGATAAAGACATGTATATCTCAACAATATCAGATAGAGAATTACAAATGCTCGATGATCATATTTTGATAACTCAACAGCTATCATTATGCTCGTTTAAAGGAGTATTTGAAGAACCATTAACTCAGTGGGAACATGATTTAAAACTTTCAAAAGATGTTATTAAAGAATGGAGTGAATTTCAAATGTATAATACTTGATTTAAAGAGAAATTTCTTAATATCTACATTATGATGTACATTGTATATAGACATAGACAGGGCTTAAAGTGGGAAAAAATTCCAGAGGGGACTAATGTCTCCATATATTCATAAGCGTTCCATATATAACTTTATGTATAAATGTCTAATGTATACAATTCTATTTTGTTAAAGGGGACACTTTTTAATCACCGTCAGCTGTAGGGGGACTGCGTCCCCCTGTGTCCCCCCACTTTAACCTCTGCTAATAGGTATAGACTAATTTAGTAAAACTAAAAGTAAATTGTTAGGTATGAATAAAAAATAAAAATCTTAATTGATTTTTATTAATCTTGTTATAATTTTATTTATGACAATATGTTTAAAACTACTCAAGTTAATTTTATCAACATTGAATATTTATGTTTGTAGGTATTCTACTTAAATTATATACCTACCTACCTATTGATAATGTTAAAAATTTGATTTAAAAATCATGTTCATTGTTATGTCTGCAGCTGCCTTTTTAAAAATAATATTATAATATCTATGATAAAAAAAAAAAATAGTAAATATCTTACTTAATATACTAATATCATAATTATAAATTGTTTATAATAAGTTATACTTTGTCTTTATTGTAACAAATAAACTTAATTTTAATTAAAAACAAGTAATTTTTAGGAAATGGATGTATTTAAAACCAATATTTGATGATCCTAATGTTAAAGAACAATTACCTGTGGAAAATAAAAAGCTCAACTTAGTTGAACGAATATTGGGTCGAATAATGAAACTCACTATGAATAAACCTTGGGTAAGAGTTTACTGATAAATATATATATATATATGTAGTTATCTATTAATTTATGATCCTATTATATGATTATGCAGTATGCACTAGTCATACTTATTCAATAACAATACATACAGCCACCAATGCTGATAATTACTTAACTCACTAATATGTAATTAAAATGTTTTTTTTTTTTAACAAAACACCTAAAGAAAGTAACAAAGAGGTACGAGAGCATTAGTTTGTTATGGAAATTATCATTTATCATAATAATATATACCTACGACTAACCTAATTGTAGGTTGTAGATATACCTACACTAAAGACTAAAGTCGTAAAGTAGTGTCCTGTTAAAGAAAGCAATTTTTAATCATATTTTATTATTTAATTTGTATAAGTAGGTAGGTATATTAAATTCACGCGACATACACAAAATCGGTATACCTACCTACATAATAATATATATAATGTTAATAAATAATAAGTAATACAAAATAGAATGGTGGCGCGGTCGGTAATTAATACAACATATTTTTGTGTAATATATTAATTTAGGTTATGAAGACTTGTCCAGATAAAAGATTAATGGACCAATTAATCAATGGCAACGTTCAACTAAATAAAGTTGAAAACGCACTTAAATTATCGTCTGTGTTTAAGTAATACACACGTCATGATCACGGTCTGGCGGTTCATTATTTGTAATCATATCTTTGAAGTAAATCAATAATATATGTGATAAATACCTAATAAACATTATTTTATTCTAACTCAAAATATTCCATAACAATCTTTATGATATATATCTGGATTTTTCACCTCTTCGTATATATATAAAATCAAAATATTATATTATAATGCATTAATGGATACAAAATGTTTTTGACCATAATTAATGCATTTTAAATTTACCATAACAAATATATTTGTTGACTTAGATATCTGTAGTTATAATCAACCATATTATTCAGTGGCGCCGAAGTGGTCAGTCACCACCCTACTATTATTTTTAAATTTAACAATTGCATCAAAGCACCCACAAAATGCAATGTATAATCATTTATTTTTAGTAAATTACTTCGAATTTAACGTCTACTATCTAGTTTATTTAGTTTTGAAATTCCCATGGAAATCCTACCATCTCAAAATTCAAAAACATATAAAATATTATATACGGAAATGGCAATCAACAGGTATCGCCAGCAGCTACCACCAGGGACCGCATCATAAAATATATTGTCATCAACGAATTTAAATAAATAAAACATAATATTATGATGCTGAATATTATCTTATGATATATTATTAGATCTCGGATTAAAAACGTGTAACTGTTGTAAACGGTGCAGAAATGAGCGACGAAAAGTTTCGAAAACGAATATTATAATATTATAGTTCGTATAATCATAATAATAATTGTTATTGTTATTTACGACAAAATATAATATAATATACATATTATATATTTCAACGATGATCTCCGTATTCTGTTTTTTTAAAAATGTCACGACGAACCGCAACGTATGAATGATAGCGTGTTATTCTTTCGAAACTATACAGTAATGTTTTTGGTTACCAATGTAAAGGTGAAAATAACAATACTCACAGCGTCGGAATCCTTCAAAACGGTCGCCGCTATAATGGAGAACAAAACGGTCGTCGGTAACATGTTATACATTATTCTCCGGGCGACCATACTTCAGCCGTGTTCCTTTTCTATTTGCACTGCACCTGTGTGTAATCTATTATTGTGGTTTATTGGAACTTTATATAAGTAGGTAGGTACCTAATACTCGTGAGTCGTCGTGACCTTCAGACAACGACGACGGTTCGTACAGAATATGTATTATAATTTAATAATTATTACAAAAATGACATAAATCAAAAGCTACGTACTGTGTTATTAATAAATAATAACTAATGTCATATAATATTATATTGACGAGTTATATACGATCAAATGACACGTTTTTGTTTTTGTTTTTTTTTTTTTTAATTTATTGATACGGCTTCAACATTAAAGTCATTAGCCAAAACATGTTTACAAGTTATTTACATCTTAATATTTAAATAAAGGAAATACAGTATAGTACAGGTATATGAGGTAATGATATATGTAACAATAATATAAAAATTATTTAGATTCTATTATATAGATTGGATATTTTAAGGAATGTTATTAAATAATTAAAATTGTCTATACTTAAAATATCTTTTAATGTTAGGTGTGGAAAAATTTTTCTTTGTTCTGTTAGATTAGGGCATTCTAGAAGTAGGTGTGCTGTGGAAATCGGGGCGTTGTTGCAGAGTTCGCAGTTTGGTCTCGGTTCTCTTCTCATTAGGTGGATGTGAGTGATGTTAGTGTGTCCAATTTTCATCCGTGTCCATATCACTTGTTGTCTTCTCGTACTTGAGGGGGGGTTCGGGTTAGGTATCAGAAGAGGTTTTATTTGGTATAGTTTGTTGTTCAATTCCTGGTCCCAGAGTCGTTGGTGGATCATTTTGCTACTTTTTAAGGCATTTCGGGCAGTGTCCTTGAAAGACGTAAGGTCTATTTTGGGAATATTGATGTTGGTGGAGGCTTCTTTGGCTGCTATATCAGCTTTTTCGTCTCCTGGTATGTTTTTGTGGGCAGGAATCCACATGAAGGTTACTGAACGGGGAGCAAGAGAAGAGGCTCTTTCTTGTATGTTTTTTATTATTTCATTTGATGTCCCTTGGTTTTGTATAGCTAGGATAGAACTTAGGGTAATCGCTGGCTATTAAGAAGGACTTTGTATTTTTCCAATTTTGTTCAGTTAGTTCTATGGCTTTCAGGATCGCTAGTGCCTCAATGGTGAAAATAGAATTAATCTCCAGTGAAGAGAACTTAAAGGTTTCTTCATCTGTAATTATAGCTAGTCTTGTTTTGATGTTGGATTTTGATCCATCGGTTTATATAATTTTATGGTCACAGAAATTCTTAAGTATAATGTCATTAAAATGTTTAGGGATTTCGGACGGCTCTATGTTTTGGATTTCTTGGATCATTGAGGTGTTGATGTTTAGGTTCATTTTCCAAGGAGGGCATATGTATGGATCAGGGGAGAGGAGTTTAGGCATTGTTGTATTTGTTGTGTCTAGCCTTTTTTTGATTCGTGTAGATATTGGCTGATTTTTTCTTAAGTGTAAAGACGGAGGTAAAGTGTTGAAAAGGTATGGTGATATAGCATTGTCCTTGTCGGCTAGTCTTTTAAGTGCAAATTTATGGATGAGCATGTTTCGTCTTATTTCTAGTGGAGGTGTGTTTGCTTCACATGGGATGCTAGGTATTGGGCTGGTTTTAAATGCGCCAATACTCAGTCGGATGCCTTGGTTGAATAGAATACTTTTGGATTTTGCTGGCCCAAATTTGAACCCCGTAGATTTTTCCAATTTGCTGATTTCATTGATAGCGTTTTGCATGATTGTTTTTGATGTGTTTATATTTCTTCCTTTGCAGTAAATAGTACTATCGTTGGCAAACATAATGGTTTTGAGTGGTGGCGGTATTATACTTGGAAGTTCGTTAATAGCTATTATAAAGAGGGTGACACTTAGACTTGATCCTTGGGGTATGCCGTTTTGGAGATTGTGGTAGAATGGGTTTCGTTAAGTTTCATAGAGAAGGATCGTTTTGATAGAAAATTTGAGATATAGGCGAGTGTATTGCCATTAATTATATTTTTTTGGAGTATATCTAGTATTTGATGGCGCCAAACCATATCGTATGCTTTTTCAATGTCAAGTGAAGTTAATAGTACGTGTTGTTTGATGTTGAAGGCTGAGTATATGTCTTCTGTTATTATAGTTAGAGCATCTATGGTGGACTTATTCCTTTGGAAGCCAAATTGTTGGTTGCTGATAAAATATGTTTGTTTTAAAGTCCAATATAATCTTTTGCTAACAATTTTTTCCAGCAATTTGCTAAGGGTGCATATTAAAGATATTGGTCGGTAAGATGTAACTTCGTGTCGATCTTTGTTCAATTTTTAATGCAAAATCATGAATTTTTTATCATTAAGAAAACAAAAAAAAAGTTTGAAACAGTTAATTCAAACTTGGTTTTATTCATCATTAAAATATCTTAGATGTCCTTTTTAAGCATTCAATTTAGTCATTCAAAACATACCAACCCTGAAAACATAAACGACATATAAACATATAAACACATAAACTCAATACTTTCATACTCAATCACCCAATAATAATTTACATTAGATAAAAACCGAAAATCCAAGTGAAGAAGATTTCAATAGAAAAGCGTACAAAGCATAAAGCAATAAAGTAGAAGAAAACAATTAATATTTTAAATAAGCGCCAAGCAGTTACAAATTTTGTCTGGATGCCAAACTTTGAGCTATACTCATCAAAGCTTCAGCTTTTTTTTCTTCGGCTGCAGCAATTTTTTCCAGCAATAATAATTTACGCTCATAATAACTGGCCTTAATTTTTGTTTTTTTTTGGCTTATAGCATCAAATGATTTTGTAGCATTAACTGTATTTTGTAAATTGGTTAATTTACAATTTGTCTTAACTTTATATGCATTTCTGTGAACAAATGAATTAGGCAATTTATGTATACATTTAATATTTAACATATATTTTTGAACATGTAAGATCATTGTATTCCAAATTGTTGCATATTCAGCATTTACATTGTATACTAAACGTTTATATTAATAATAATAATCATAAGTATCATATTACGATCGGTGGGGATTGTCCATCGGTCATTAGCGAGTAGACAATTTTATATGTACGTCAGTTCGTTTTATACTTTTCACAATAAAAGACTATAATATACGTTTGTGTTATTATTCATATTAACAATACACAACAAATTGGCGACGAAGATAAAAAATTTTAAACTCATCTCATATTAAATTAAAATATTTATAAAATGGGTGAGGATAACAAAAATATTACTCAATTCCATAATATAATAGGTTCACCAGGAACATTTGAATCTGGAAACGACATAACAATATTTGAATCAAGACTTACAAATTTTTTCATTGCAAACGGAATAAGTAACGAAGTCCAGAAGAGAGCTATACTACTATCTTCAATTAGTGAGGAAGTTCACAAAATATTATTCAGTTTATGCGTTCCAGCCAAACCAGACGTTCAGACATACGACACACTATTAGGTTTGTTAAACAATTATTACAAGCCAGTGAAATCGTACTTCGCATCAAGATATGCATTCTACAACGCAAAGCAGAGACCAGACGAAACTGTAGCTGAATGGGGAGCAAGAGTAAAGAACCTAGCATCAAAATGTAATTTTTCAACGGAATTACAAATTGTAATCCGTGACATTTTTGTTGTTGGTATGAACGCGGGACCAATTCAAGATCGATTACTAGAGGAAGATGCCTCAAAAATAAGCATCACATATTCGCACCTTATGGAAATTTCTGCTGCAAAAGAATCTACAATCAACAATAAAACCGGATGGATAAAGGAAGAAGCTGACTTCAAATATCAAAAACAAAGTCAGCAAGCAAAATCAGCCAAGCAGTCAATCACGGAAAAATCAAAATGTGGAACATGCGGTCGATCAAACCACACACAAAAAGAATGCCGATACAAGGACTACAGTTGTAATATTTGCAATATCAAAGGTCATTTGGCTCCTATGTGTAAAAGTAAGAACAATAAACCAAAGTATGATAACCGCTCACACAATAAATTTTTATCCGAAAATTCTGGTAATAACACGAATGAAAATATTCATGATGACGCAATCGCGTACAATTTATCCGACACTCTTTTTAATATGATTGAAAATAACTTTCAAAATAAAGTAAAACCGTACATTATCAATTTATTAATTGAAAATAAAGATTTAAAATTTGAAATAGATACGGGGGCTGTGCATAGTGTAATGTCAAAACAATTATATGATACAAGTTTTAATAATTTAACTTTATTACCAAACGATATTTCACTACGCGATTACGTCGGAAATGATATGAGCCCAATAGGAAAATTAATAGTAAATTATTGGAAAAAATAACATCATAGACTTGGGAAAAATATTTAAGTTTTTAGAGCGTTATGTTCAAAAAGTAGATGGTAAAATTACCGTTTATGAGTAAAATCAAATAGTTTTTTTATGTTCAAATAATGATTTCTTCCAAAATATTCTAAGTACATAAGATAATTGCACATAATAATTTTCGTTATAATTCTACCTATCAGGAAAAAATAACATTATAGACTTGGAAAAAATATTTAAGTTTTTAGAGCGTTATGTTCCCTAAGACCGAAAAATGGGGTGAAAATTACGATATTTTGGTTGGTCATAAAAAATATTTTTTCATAATAATTTAAAAAATAAAATAACTATAGTACTATGACAAAAATCATATTTATTTATTCGTCATAAAATGGTCTATCAGAAAAATATAATTTCATAAAATTTGGGTAAAAATTAAAGGGTAAATAGACTTATGTTCAAAAAAGAAACCCCTGTAATTACGATATTTTGGATTATCACAATATACATTTTTTCGAAGTAATTTAGGAAAAAAATATCTATAGTACTATGACAAAAATTATATTTTCTTAATCGTCATGACCTGGTCTATCAGAAAAATACAACTTGATAAAGTTTAGGTAAAAAATAAAGGAAAATAAACCTTATGTTCAAACACAAAATAACCCGCTAAAATGATGAAAAATTTCCAAATATTTACGTTCAAATCGTTATTTCTTGAAAAATATTTGAAGTTAAGGCAAGTTTTGTGATATAAAGATTCAGTGTGATATTATCTATCAGAAAAATATAATTGTATAGAGTTTTGTTGAGAAATACAGTTTTTCTACTACATTTGGTGCGCAGAGTTAAAAAACAACGTATTCACAGCTATGCGTAAGCAGCCTGGACTTAAACAAAAATCTGTGAAAACCTATTTTCTTTAATATTGCACATATCGAATTGATTTTTTTTTTAAATGTTTAGAATGGTATTCTCACTCATATTTTAACGTTGAAAAATTTTTATCAACCCTAAGACCGAAATAATGGGGTGAAAATGACGTCATTTTGGTTGGTCATAAAAAATATTTTTTCGTAGTAATTAAAAAAATAAAATAACTATAGTACTATGACAAAAATCATATTTATTTATTCGTCATAAAATGGTCTATCAGGAAAATATAATTTCATAAAATTTGGGTAAAAATTAAAGGGTAAATAGACTTATGTTCAAAAAAGAAACCACTGTAATTACGATATTTTGGATTATCACAATATACATTTTTTCGAAGTAATTTAGGAAAAAAATATCTATAGTACTATGACAAAAATTATATTTTCTTAATCGTCATGACCTGGTCTATCAGAAAAGTACAAATTGATAAAGTTTAGGTAAAAAATAAAGGAAAATAAACCTTATGTTCAAACACAAAATAACCCGCTAATACGATGAAAAATTTCCAAACATTTACGTTCAAATCGTTATTTCTTGAAAAATATTTGAAGTTAAGGCAAGTTTTGTGCATAAAAAGATTCAGTGTGATATTATCTATCAGGAAAATATAAATTTATATAGTTTAGTTGAGAAATAAAGTTTTTTATACTACATTTGGTGCGCAGAGTTAAAAAACAACGTATTCACAGCTATGTGTAAGCAGCCTGGACTTAAACGAAAATCTGTGAAAACCTATTTTCTTTAATATAGCACATATCGACTTGATTTTTTTTTTAAAATGTTTAGAACGGTATTCTTACTCATATTTTACCGTTGGAAAATTTTTATCAACCCTAAGACCGAAATAATGGGGTGAAAATGACGTCATATTGGTTGGTCATAAAAAATATTTTTTCGTAGTAATTAAAAAAATAAAATAACTATAGTACTATGACAAAAATCATATTTATTTATTCGTCATAAAATGGTCTATCAGAAAAATATAATTTCATAAAATTTGGGTAAAAATTAAAGGATAAATAGGCTTATGTTCAAAAAAGAAACCACTGTAAATACGATATTTTGGATTATCACAATATACAATTTTTCGAAGTAATTTAGGATAAAAAATATCTATCGTACTATGACAAAAGTTATATTTTCTTAATCATCATGACCTGGTCTATCAGAAAAGTACAACTTGATAAAGTTTAGGTAAAAAATAAAGGAAAATAAACCTTATGTTCAAACACAAAATAACCCGCTAAAATGATGAAAAATTTCCAAATATTTACGTTCAAATCGTTATTTCTTGAAAAATATTTGAAGTTAAGGCAAGTTTTGTGCATATAAAGATTCAGTGTGATATTATCTATCAGAAAAATATAATTGTATAGAGTTTTGTTGAGAAATACAGTTTTTCTACTACATTTAGTGCGCAGAGTTAAAAAACAACGTATTCACAGCTATGCGTAAGCAGCCTGGACTTAAACAAAAATCTATGAAAACCTATTTTCTTTAATATTGCACATATCGAATTGATTTTTTTTTTTAAATGTTTAGAATGGTATTCTCACTCATATTTTAACGTTGAAAAATTTTTATCAACCCTAAGACCGAAATAATGGGGTGAAAATGACGTCATTTTGGTTGGTCATAAAAAATATTTTTTCGTAGTAATTAAAAAAATAAAATAACTATAGTACTATGACAAAAATCATATTTATTTATTCGTCATAAAATGGTCTATCAGGAAAATATAATTTCATAAAATTTGGGTAAAAATTAAAGGGTAAATAGACTTATGTTCAAAAAAGAAACCCCTGTAATTACGATATTTTGGATTATCACAATATACATTTTTTCGAAGTAATTTAGGAAAAAAATATCTATAGTACTATGACAAAAATTATATTTTCTTAATCGTCATGACCTGGTCTATCAGAAAAATACAACTTGATAAAGTTTAGGTAAAAAATAAAGGAAAATAAACCTTATGTTCAAATACAAAATAACCCGTTAAAACGATGAAAATATGCCAAATATTTATGTTCAAAATGTGATTTCTGCGAAAATATTTGAAGTTAAGGTAAGTTTAGTAGATATAAAGATTCAGTGTAATATTATCTATCAGAAAAATATAAATTTATATAGTTTAGTTGAGAAATACAGTTTTTTATACTACATTTGGTGCGCAGAGTTAAAAAACAACGTATTCACAGCTATGCGTAAGCAGCCTGGACTTAAACAAAAATCTATGAAAACCTATTTTCTTTAATATTGCACATATCGAATTGATTTTTTTTTTAAAATGTTCAGAATGGTATTCTGACTCATATTTTACCGTTGGACAATTTTTATCAACACTAAGACCGAAATTATAGGGTGAGAATGACGTTAATTTGGATTGTCACAAATTATTATGGTTCGTAATAATTAAAAAAATAAAATAACTATAGTACTATGACAAAAATCATAAGTATTTATTCGTCATAAAATGGTCTATCAGGAAAATATAATTTCATAAAATTTGGGTAAAAATTAAAGGGTAAATAGACTTATGTTCAAAAAAGAAACCACTGTAATTACGATATTTTGGATTATCACAATATACATTTTTTCGAAGTAATTTAGGAAAAAAATATCTATAGTACTATGACAAAAATTATATTTTCTTAATCGTCATGACCTGGTCTATCAGAA